TTAATTAACGCGCTTTTACTTTAATACCTTCAATTTCAATATACATTAATCTTAAAAGTGCTTTTTACTGTTTCGATTCAATATCCTTCTTTTGTTATGCATTATTTATGTGTACATATGCTTTTTCTTCTAATGTCTTCGATGCTTTTGAAGATTTTTAACACACTTATTAATCAGCTTTTTTTTTCAATCACGATAGATACAGAGTGCCTTTCTTTTTTTTTTTTTAATTATTTTCTTTTTCTCCATTTTTTTCTCTGAGTTTTGCTTAAATTATAGCTTCAGAAATATATTTTCATCATTTTGAAATGTACGTTTCTTTTAATGAAAACTAAACATTAACTTGACGTCTTTTAAAAGTTTTTTTTCCTTTTAACAAAAGAGTGCTTCAAATATGTATTATTTATTTTTTCAGGTATATATAATTATAGAAAAAAATTTCTGATGTCCTAAGTTTGAAAATCAGAAAAAGTTCTAACACACAAAGAAAAGTTCTAATGCACCATTATATTATAAAACTAAAGTACAAAAAATAACTTTTTTTTAACGTATTTTATTTCTTAAATGGTATGAAATATTTTTCTAGAAAAGAATTAATGGCATTTTAACTATTTTTAAACTTACGAAAGTACATGTTTACTTATTTAAGGAAATAATTTGGGTGCTAATTAAAATTGAGAACCAAATTAACATATTAATATAACATTTCAAAATATTATAATACGTTCTATAAAGTTAAGTTACTGTTAATTCTGGCATTTATAACTATATTTGCGATTGAAATCTAAAAATACATTAAGTTATTTTTTTAATAAATCTATCTAGTTTGTTCGAGATTTCTAAGGCCACGGTGGCCCAATAAATCATGGTCAAGAACTCGTAGCTGTGTGTCATGAGTTCGAGTCCGAGCGCCACTGAAGACTCTTCGTGTAGAGAGTCTGATGCACGTTAAATCTATCGAGGCTCAAAGTCCTCCCGATAGCGTGGTGTGGTTGCTTGGAGAGGGAACTAATATCTCAAGTTTCGTCCAAGTCACTCGGACGAGGTTCAGAATTACGCGATCCGTCGCCGATAGTACGTGTGTTACTTCATACTGTGACGTAATGGCTGTCTTCGGTTAATGTTAAAGAATAGGACCCGAATTTGGTTTCTTTTTCTGTTCCTACTATTAGCTCACACTCTCTATATAGTTATTTGTTTATCTACGGGAATTTTCAATCGTTAATAAAATGCATTTTAAAGCGCTCAATTGAGCTTAAATTTTATATACATGATTATTTTGGATGACAGTACAGTGATTTAATTATAATTAATAAAAATTAATTGATTAAAACTAATTATTTAAAGAATTACAAATACAGCCACGTTGGCGACTTAGCGACCCTTTTGGCGCCTTGTGTCAAAACTTGAAAAGGTTTTTTTCTCACGTTTTAAAGTATTCAGTTGAACCGAAATTTTATTTACACGATTGTTTTGGAGGACAATACGATACTTTAATGATAATTAATAAAAATTAATTACCACTTAATGTTGTGGTTCTATCCTATGTATATACATATTTATATTAATTGAAACTATTTAATAAATAGTAGCTAAAAAATAAAAATTTTCTTTGATAAGTAGGAATTGACTTAAAATTTTTTTTTATTATTATTTGTTAAGTTAATAATGTGGCCTATAAGATAAAATCATAACAATTGCCAATTTTTTGACAAATTCACAATTTTAGGGTAGTCGGATACCTTAATTATAATTTATTTTTATTTCCAAATAATATGGGTCTGATATATCGGAGAAAAAATACAAAGAGATACAATACAATAATAAAATAAGCATATAAAGTTCGATGCAGCGCAGACTCCTAATGGACGCAATTCGTTGTACAAATTCGTAAAGTAAGACAAAACAAAAGAATCAGACACGCGCAAAGAGAAATAAAAGATCAGACCATTGTTCAGGAAGGTATTTTAATTTAAATAAATTACGAAAATTTGAAGAAAAAGTTCTATGTGAATCAAAGCATCTAAGAAAATGTTGATTAAAGTTTAAGAAGAATAGTTCGGATTTAATTATGCAAATTCTAAATAAACATTCTATTTTGTAAAAAAAAATCTTAGATAGACAAATGGGTATTAAGATATTCATTTTCAATTACTTGATTTTGATGTTAAAATCTTGAATTTATATAAATTCTAAATTGTGTCTTTCACTTCTTTTAAAAAGCACACATTTAATGTCTATAAGATAGATAAATAATATATAAAAAACTATAAAGTTAATTCCTACTTAAGTCAACAAATAAATTTTATTTTAGTTATTTTTCATTCCAGTTCATTTACAGTTGAAATTCATATAAATATGTATATACATAGGACAAAATCACATTATTAAGTGACAAAATAAAAAGCGATTTTCCTTCCAATTTTCCATTTTCCTTTCTATATAGGGTGTTGGACTAATATTTTTGTTTGTTACTATTTATTCATTAATTACTTTTGTGGGAAACCCCCCCGGGTTCCACCCTGGACACTAAGATTAATTTGAGGCAAAGAATGACCAGACGCCATTTGTATAATAATAACTTGTATTTATTCAATTGGTTCAAATATCAAAAATCTAATAACAAATAGTAAGCTTTATTTCTACGTCAAAAAGGGAATTACCTTTAATATTAACTTAAATCAGTGCTTCTCAAACTCTCAATACTGGCGCCCCCCTTATCAATCACAATTTTTATCGCGCCCCCCTTATACATTAATAATGTACTGAATGCAATAATAATGCACTTTTTTTTACGCTAAAGCAATAATCTTAATTATATACCGTACAAATTCATGACATAAGTATTAAATTTTGTATATGTTGCTTTTAAGCAAAAAAAATAAGTAATAGGATAATTATTATGCTATTTTTCCTTTCTCTAATTTTTAAATTGGAACATATTGCAAAATGCGGTGGCTGCTTAGAAGACAAAATAGAGATATCAGCTTTTTTTTAGAAATAACTCATTGGGTCAATTTCTAATCATAAGCATTCCTTTGAAAAATTTGCTCTGTAAGACAAGCCCATGGAAGTCGCTGATACTTATTAAACTTGTTCATAATTTAGCATTAATTAATTAGTTATAAAATACTCTGTGCAGCACTGATACATTAAAAGTATTCCGGCTGAAGTACCCGCTATTTGCACGAGTTCATTTATAAGAAAATAAAACATTATTGATATAATCGCTGAATTTTAAGGAGAGTAAAGCCAAGTGCGCAACAATGTTTACAAAAATGTAAAATGATTTTTTTAAATGATTGCTCAAATTATAATTAGTTTCAAGTGAATTGTAATTTTAAGCCTCACAGAAATAGCATTTAGAATTGATGTTGAATAATGAACAATAATATAAAATTCCGATGAGAAATAATTGTATTTTTTTTTATATTTAAAGTGATAAGACTTCAACACATGTTTTAAACCTGGAGCAGGTACGCACTCAATACTAATGGTCGAGTGAAGTTATTGAGCCACCCCAATTTTTTTTATAATTATTTTTAAAGTACACAATAAAAATCGTAATTACAGTGAATAATTTACTTAAGAGAAAATATACTCACCTACTTTCAAGAACACAGAAAATATTTCGCAAAATAAGTTATCCCACCGGGAACTCAGTCAAAACAAGTACCTTAAGATTGTAAAAAAAACGTTTGTCACTCCCCAAAAAGAGGGAGAGATATGTGACAAATATATTTTACTTCACACGTTAAGACTATCAAACAGGAGGATAGTGTCAGACTCATTGGTAACAATTAAACAGTTTTGCCAGAATTACCGATTTCGTGCATTCTGTGCTTGGCGTGACAGCTCCGGAATAAAAGTGTATTTATTACAATATGGATGTTCAAAAAAAATTATGTGTAACGTTTTTCATTATGCTTTTTTATATGTTTGGGAATAACTCATAGAAATAAATCTTGGCCAAGTAATCCTTCAAAAAGCTCTCTGTGCTTTTCCAAAAATCATAAAAATATTTTACAAGGAAAAAATCGCAGCAGAAATAGTTTATTTGCAACTGCCCTAAATGAAAAAACAAATACATAAGAGCAGGGACGTAACTAACCGTACAAGTAAGTTCGAAGGTCAAACCGCAGCAACTACATTGACAATAATATAACAGTGATGAATTGTTTATCTTCCTAAAAAATTTTTTCGATTATGGGTCTGGGTTTTGTTTTTTCTCATTTTGGTTTGAAAAGAAACCGTAATAGAAGTAGAAGCTTTAATTTTTTTTTTTATGACGTAATATTGCAGATATATAAATTATATCAGTGTAAATGTCTATTTTTTTATCATGTCAGAAAGTATTTTGTTTTACTTCATTCCAGTAAATAATTTTTTTTAATCTTTTATTTTCGATATGCTCGCGCCCCCCTTGTACGTTTATCGCCCCCCAGGGGGGCACGCCCCACAGTTTGAGAAACACTTACTTAAATTATTCAATAGGAAATTAATCAATAGCTACGCGCAATATCAATAAGATTTACCGGAATAGGAGGTCTGAGAAATACACATAACTCGAATTATTAGTTTTCATTTATTTAAACTAATTTTATTAAACTAACGCTTGTGGTAAGCGGTATTAAACTAGAATACATCACCTGGTAGTACTTTGATCTCTTCACAGGTATATTAACTTCCTAAGGTTCCTTCGCTGAGTACTAACAGCAATGTTTCACTATCGTAATCCAATTGAATCCTATAAACTTTGTCATTACTGCTGCTGGCTCAATTGCCCTCATCTCCGCTAAATTACAACACTCTACTTAAATTCCCTATCTACTTTGCATATCCCGTTTTCTCCTTTTAGAGTTGATTGGAAATATACGCGAATTTACTATCCCCAAAGACGCCTAAGAATATTAGTGGAAAGGTTCCGTAAAGATTCGTCACACTTTTAATTATTCCAATAAGATAGTATAGTAAAAAAATCACATTCTCAGAAATTAGGCCATCCCAAGTGGGATTTGAACCCACCAACTTTTCATTACAAGTTCAAGGCGCTATCCATTGCGCTTCAGGGACACAACGAACGATTTTCCTATCTATATATGCTGTTAGACTATTATTTTTGTTTGCTATTATTTATTCATTTTTTAATTTAATTAATGAAATAATATTTGAAAAAACTGTATTAACATCAAATATCATTCACTACAAGTTTAAAAAATGTATTTCAACTTGAGTGGATGAATAAAAAGTATTTTACTAACGACTGAGAATTTGAACGATATATATATATATATACATAAGTAAATATAGGGGGAAGTGAACTAATAGTAGGAATTATTGAAAGAAAATTCATTAACGTACAAAAACTTTACATGACCATTATATGTAAGAGAAATATTTATTTCGAATTATTTAAAGGTAAAAAAAAATAATACCCTTACGCCTGAATCAAAATGCTTTAAAGTATTTTTGTTCTCTTTGCATAGATCCTCATTCCTTATTTTTACAAATTAGTGCAAAGTTAGTCCAGATATTCTTCTTTGATATGCTTTTCTACAAAACGACCCGAGCTAAAAGGGCAATCATTCAAACTATATATATATATATATATATATATATATATATATATATATATATATATATATATCCTAGTTTTCACGTTAAAACTTTTCAGATAGGAATATATGTATTTTGCTGTTGGAATATTTTTAAAGATCTATATTCTATTCAAATACAGTCAACAATTTTAGCTTATTCTCCATTTTATTTTTTTTTTAAATTTTCATGAAAGATTGCTCTTTATCTCGCATTCGAATGAAAACAGTTTACGTTGTCAGAATTTTATTCTTGTATAAGAAAAATCATAAATCCAAAAACTTTTCATAAAATTGAATTTAAAGTTATCTGTGGATGTGTTGTATCTCGGATTCCATACCTTTGAAAAATATATTTCCAGAAAATAAAGACGATGAAGTTAAAGAAAATTTTATATTTTGTATATATATATATATATATATATATATATATATATATATATATATATATATATATATATATATATATATAAATGTTTGTATTTAAATTTCCTTTTTGCATCTCTTATGTATAGAAATATGTATAGATTTATAGAAAATTATTATGGTACACATCAGCATTTACTTTTCTGAAAGAAAGTTTATTTAACATTCTTAAAATTAATATTGGAAAAGTGAAATTTCGGCATGCATTTTGTTGTTCTTTTTTTAAAAAACAAATTTTCAACATTTTACATATTATTTTGAAATAATCCGTTTTAAAAGCTGCAGAAAATACTATTCTCCAAATTCAACTTAAATGTTAGAAATAAATTATACCTTTCATGATAAGGTGAAATCTGACTTTAATCCCTTACTACAGTAAAAGCTTTCTAATCTGATCTACATTATGTTGAAAATAAATTTGATTCTACGTTTAAAGTTAAAACATAACTGCGCAAAAGGGGATATATTTATATTATTCTGTATTTCTCAGTTCTTGTGGCCGCGGTAGCCGAATGGTCAAGGTATCGGATCGTGACTGGCCTTGTCACGAGTTCGAGCCCAGTACCACTAAAGACTCGTCGTGTAGGGAAGCGATGCACGTTGAATCTGTCGAGAGCTTAAACATCCTCCCGTTGGTGAGGTATTTAAGAAAGGTGGTGCGAGCTCAGGTGTCGTCACGTCACTTGACCATGGTTCAAAATTACGTGGTCCGTCGCCCAAAGCCCTCGTGTATCTGAACAGTGCGACGTTAATATTCATTCACTCACTATTTCAGTTCTCTTTATCTATCTCGACTCAGGGCGTATTAGCCTAGTGGTCAGTGTCACGGACTTGTAGCTAGAATGTCATGAGCTCGAACCTAGCACCACTGAAGACACACCGTGCAGAGGGGACCGATGCACGTTAATTATGTTCAGGCTCAAACACCATCAAGTTGGTATGGTGTGGGAAAGGAGGTGCTAGCTCAGGTGTCGTCCTCGTCACTTTACCATGGTTCAAAACAACGAGGTCCGTCACCAATAGCCCTCATGTAGCTTTATAGTTGGAGATGAAAATGTAACTTTATATCTCTCTCGAAAAAGCTTTCTTTTAATTCGTTTTAATCTTGAATACTCCAAGGCATTGTGCTATACTCAATTCCTCTATATTTACCAGCTTAACAGGGGAATACTATATTCACTGCAAACTTACTTCTAAAAAAACTGGGGGCTGCGGTAGCCCAGTGGTCAAGGTATCTTATCATTGCAGGCATGTCACGAGTTCGAGCCCAGTACCACTCAAGACCGCCGTGTAGGGCAGCGATGCACGCCAAATCTGTCGAGAGTTCAAACATCCCCCCTCCCGTTGGTTTGGTAGTCAGGAGAGGATGTGTGCCAGCTCAGGTGTCGTTCTCGTCACTTAACCACGGTTTAATATGACGAGGTCCGTCGCCAAAAGCCCTCGTGTAGCTAAACAGTGCGACGCTAATATTCACTCACTCGCACTAAAAAAACTGTCATGTGAAAGTTTTGTAAGTTGACTCAATATTACGTCTTCCACAGGAACAACTGATTTTCAAGGATTAAATTATGTGAGCTTAGAACCTACTAGAAGGTTCTTAAATTGTAATAATTAAAGAGCTTTCAGTTTCAGAAAGATGACACTTTTGTCCGTCAAAAGTTTCTTTAGTTCATCTCTGTAGCCGCAGTAGCTTTTGTCGCAAGAACGCACTGTCGTAAAATAATTGTGCATCTGCCTGCAAATAATTATGATCAAAAAACGAAATATTGTGAAAAGAATATTTTCCAGAAACCTTTAGGACGCGATTGCATCAAAATTGACATCCAAGAAAACCCACTGGAATTGGTTTACATTGCGAATTACTTAAAATAACTATTCCTTTCTAATTTAGCAAAAAATGCAAAAATTATTTCCTCTTATTATTCTTTACCTTAGTAGATATATACAGGGTGTCCGGGCTTAAAGTATCTAAAAGTTATGGTTTGTTATTACGGAACTAGCCATCAGAATGTAATAAACTGTTCATGCGTGAATTTAAAATCGGTACGAGATTTTTTAGGTCTTGTCCGATCGGCCGCACGTGCACGCATTGTTCAGCAATTGCGGACGATACACTTGTTACACTGACTTCGTTAGTTAATATGCGGACGCCACAGCAAAAAATGCAGTGTGTACTTTGGTTAACGGAATTTAAATCAGTCATGCGTCTACAGCGACGATGTTCGAATAGAATGGAATGTCGATCCTCCGACAACAAAATATATCCACCAATGGGAAACAACTTTAAAGGAGACGGGAACTTTGGTATCTCAAACTAGCAAGTATCCTTAAGTTTTCGTGATTGAAGACACTGGCGATTGTGTGCGTAAATCATTTTGTAGGAATCCTGATAAGTATACTAGGTAAGCCATTAACGACATTTCACTTTGTTCGAACACGTCGCTGCACACGCGTGACTGATTTAAAATCTGTGAACCAAAGTACGCACTGCACCTTTTGCTGTAGCGTCCATATTTTTACTAATGAAGTCAGTGTAACAAGTTGGTTGTTTGTGATTGCTGAGTAAGGCACGCACGTGCGGCCGATCGGACTAGTCCAAAAAACTCTCGGGGGAGGGGGGGTCCAATCCATGGATGAACAGTTTATTACTTTCTGATGGGTAGTTCTGTAATAAAAAAGCTTTAACTTTTAGATACTTTAAGCCCGGACATCCTGCACAATAAAGTATGATATCAAACGTAACAATTTCACATTTCTCTTAGTGTAAATTTAAAGGTTACTAATTGTTAAACACTTCATTAAGTAAAAACAGTGATCACTCCAAATGGTCTAAATTTACGTGACGTCATAGTAACATGATAATGTTAACTATGTGTTTCTAACCAATAATTTCAAAAACTCATGTGACGTCATAATCACGCAATAAAAGTAATCATGTGTTTCCAGCTAATTAGTTCTGGCGCTTCCTTCCTGCCATCCTTTGCTCTTTACAGAAATTTGTTCTTAAAAAGCATATAACGCATAATAACTCACAGAGGTACGTAAAAAATGCATTTTATTTTAAAAAACTACATGCTGAAAATAAGATTATTTTTTAAAATATTTGAAAGTCTTTTTGAGAAAAAAATTTTTGTAACATTTAAACATTTTTATTCAATTATTAAATTTGAAATTTTATCTATGTCGAATATGATTAGTTTTATGTCTGTTCAATGGAGGTCACGTGTTTGTCTTTATCATGTGACCGTCATAAATTGAGCCCTTTCCTGATGTGCTCTCCATTGCATTGAAACCTGTTCTCTTTGTTAAAACTAGATAATATTTCGAGTTTGATATTAGGATAAATATGTTCGAGTCTTAAGATTATGAAAGTTTTCAAAATTTATAAAAGAAACTTACACGTGTACTTTCAAATCAAGGGCATCGGGCGTTATTATTGTTGACAAATATGCATATCTCAAAAGAAAAGTCCTGCAAAATGCAAACGTTGGAAAAAGCAAAGCACATGAAGTGATCGGCTGGAAACACGTGATTATTATTCATCATATGGCTATGATGTCACGTGAATTTATGAACTCATTGGTTAGAAACAAGTGATTATAGTTGTATGACTGACATGATTTTAGAAATGAATGTAGCCCATTTATTCACGAGTCTGGGAAAAACCAATCATAATAGGCTAAATTCATGTTCATGTGACGTCATATTCACGTGATAACGACAGCTAATCCGTCCAAGCGTTTCGCTGTTACCAATGTTTGCTTCTTACGGAATCTTTCTTATAAAAATTATATATTTGTCAACAAAAATAACATACATAGATAAATAAAATGCACTCAATTTAAAAATACGCGAGTAATATAAGAATTCTTTTGAAAAAATTTGAAAACATTTCTGAAGAATTTTAACATTTGACCATTTTTACCGAATTTAAAATTGTATCTAAATTTTACTAGTAGAACACAAGCACTAGCCTAATGTCAGTTTGTTTTGAATTCAATGGAGAACACATGGTTATATTTGTCATGTGACCGTAACGAGTTAAGTCCGTTT